TAACTCTTGCTGCTTTCCAATGAAGATCTAACCCGTTTAGCAGCAATGGCTGACAAAATTAATGAACTTGTCTCTCCAGCTTATGTCAGGTGCTGCTAATGCTGCACCTTCCAGTTCATCCCTGGAACAAACAAGTGGCCTGAATTGACCAAAGAAAGTATCTGAACTCTCTACAAGTCTTCATGCTTCACGGAGATACAAGTCAATCAAATCAGGGCTCACGTGCAATAAATTTAGTGCCTGAAGCCAGGAGTCAATCTCGTCACAATGCTTCGAACGCAATACAAAGAACCTGCACAAGTGGCATATGTTTTTATCATATGAATTTGGCTCTCAAGCTCGCAAGTGTGCTGCCCCTCCATGCACTTTTGAACAACTGCGGGAAACTAAATGGGACGGTCTTCTGCTGGCCAACAGAATGTTCCGCCACATTCGACAGAATAGTACAGATCTGATCGTTCAACTCAGTTATGTTTTCTAGTAGATACTGGAGCTGACATATCAGCGCAAATGATCCCAAGAACTAAAATCAAATGCTTCACCAACTTAATAAACTTGTACTGTATGCAGCCAATGGTACCCAAATTGCAACCTACGGCACCAAACTATTGACACTTGATTTAAACTTGCGCCGGACTTTCAACTGGCCTTTTTATTATTGCGGATGTAACTCAAGCAATTATTGGTGTTCGACTTCTTGACACATTTTCCACCTTCTAGTAGATGTCAAGAATAATTGCTTAAATTGATGCTACAACTCAGCTGACATCACAGTGCCAAGCTTGTCACATATCGAACGTACCTACCAACATAAGTGTTGTATCGGGCAGCACACGGTTTCATCAATCGGTTTATTAGCAGAATTCCCTGACATTTTAAACCCATCCAAATCAGGGCAGCATACTCATCAGCTACAGAAGTGTATCATCACATTGAAACACATGGCCCACCTGTATTTTCCAAGCCTCGTCGTCTTTTCTCCAGAGATGCTAAAAGCTGCTCGCAAAGAATTTGAATTCATGCTAGCACAGGGAACTATTCACCCATCTAAAAGTCCATGGGCCAGTCCACTTCACATGGTTAAAAAGTCTAATGGTGACTGGCGGCCTTGTTGGAGATTATCGTCGACTTAATGCCGTCACAGTCCCTGACAGATATCCAGTCCCACATATCCAAGACTGTACCCATCTTTTTCATGGAACAAACATATATTTTCTACCCTCGATCTTGCCAGAGCATATCATCAGATCCCAGTGCATGCTGAAGATGTGCCCAAGACCTGCAGTGACTATACCATTTGGTCTCTTTGAGTACTTATATATGCCATTTGGCCTTCGCAATGCTGGCCAAACATTTCAAGCGTTTCACATACACCAAGTACTGTCTGGCCTCGATTTCTGCATCCCATATTTTGATGATATCCTGGTTGCATCTACAGATGCGGAAGAACATTTTCAACATCTGCGTCAGATTTTCACTCGCCTTAAAGATCATGGATTAAAACTAAATCCATCCAAATGTGTACTTGGTCAACCCTCAGTTTCCTTTCTTGGATGTCTTATCACCCAGAATGGAGTTAAACCTTTACTGGAAAGAGTCAAAGCAATTAACGACCTACCTCAGCCCAAAACCATCTCTGAACTGAAGCGTTTTCTAGCAATGTTAAATTTCTACCGACGCTTTCTGCCAAATGCCGCAAAAACACAAGCCTGCTTACATGAGTTTCTGAAGAATAGAAAAAAAAAAAACGATCAACGAGCTGTCCCTTGGACTGAATCTGCATCTGCAGCATTCGTGCAATGCAAACACGATCTGGCAAATGCAGCCACACTTTCTTATCACTCACCTAGTGATCAGCTCTCTATAATGGTAGATGCATCTGACACGGCCATAGGAGCAGTGCTTCAAGCCCATACCACTAAAGGACTTTCCCCAATGGCATTCTTCTCCAGAAAACTTACTACTGCAGAAAGGAAATATAGCACATATGACAGGGAGCTACTTGCTGTGTACTGTGCCGTTAAATACTTCCGGCACAACTTGGAAGGACACGACTTCATCATTTTCACCGATCGTCGACCATTAACCTTCGCTTTTAGAAAAAACTCTGACTCATGTTCTCCTCGTCAGCTTCGACATCTGGATTTCATCGCCCAGTTTAGTACAGATATCAGATATGTTGTCTCTGGTACTGATAATTGTGTCGCTGATGCCTTGTCTCGGGTAAACAATATCAACCTCACTACTCCAGATTTCTCTGAAATTGCAAAAGCTCAATTGCATGATGAGGAACTCAAGAACCTAATCTCAAATCCACAAACCTCCCTTCAGTTACAAACCGCTGCACATTGATCCAACGCTTAAAATTTACTGTGACATAGAGAACAATAGAATACGTCCCTATATTCCTGTCAGTTTTAGACGTGAAGTGTTTAATGCCTTGCACAATTTGGCACATCCTGGAATCCGTGCCACCAAAAAGCTGATCGCAGACAGATTTGTCTGGCCAGCAATGAATCAAGACATCGCAGAATGGACTCGTTCATGTATTAGATGTCAACGGTGTAAAGTATCCCGTCACACTCACAGCCCCATTCAACAATTTAACCTTCCAGCAAGACGCTTTGATCATGTGCACTTAGACTTGGTTGGCCCATTGCCTTCTTCAAATGGTTACACTTACCTCCTCACTTGTATTGATCGGTACACAAGATGGCCTGAAGCCATTCCTATTGAAAATATATCCGCTGAAACTGTAGCTCGAGCATTCATCTCCCAGTGGCTTTCAAGATTTGGCATGCCTACCACCATCACTACTGACCAAGGCCGACAATTTCAATGTCACTTGTTCGCATCCCTCACGTCTCTTCTTGGCATTCGCCATATTCGCACAACACCATACCATCCATCTGGAAATGGGATGGTGGAACGCTTTCACCGATCTCTCAAACAAGGTCTGAAGTGCCACAGTAGCACACACTGGACAGAAGCCTTACCCCTAGTCTTGCTTGGTCTTCGCACAGCATTCAAAGAAGACATTGGTAGCACTTGTGTTGAAATGTTATATGGTGCAACCCTCCGTCTGCCAGGTGAATTCTTTCACCCAGAATCTACTCCAGTTCTCGACCCTCCAACATTCCTTCAACGTTTATGTGAGACCATGAGCAATATCTCGCCAACCCCAGCATCTTCGCATAACCAGCCAAGCTATTTTGTACATCCTGCGCTTGAGACATCTTCGCACGTATTCGTGCGCAACGATGCAATTAAGCCAACTTTAACACCTTCATATGATGGTCCATTCAAAGTTGTCAAACGAACACCGAAACATTTTACCATCATCTGCAATGGCAAACAATCAGTGATTGGAATCGATCATCTCAAACCAGCATTTCTAATGCAAGATCCAACAACTTCCTCATCAACATCACTCCCGGAAGAAAGCTTACATCCCGTTAAAGAGCAACCTAAAACTACCAGATCTGGAAGAAAGGTTAAATTTAACCCAAAGTACTTATAACGTACCGATGGTACTTGGGGGGGAGTACTGTGGCGTTCCGACAGATACTTCAACTTCTATTCATGAGATGGCGCCATGTGTAAAATCCAGCTCTTAATCGGAGCAGCAAAGCGACGTCATTACTCACTCAGACTTCTCGCAAGACAACTGTACGCGACGGTAGCATGAACTGTGTTCCGAGCTCTGTGTTGATCTCTGCAATGTAATTTAAATTTTGATTTAGTACTTAATGTATTCTTTTGTTATAGGAGATTGTCTACTCTTATTTTCTTTAATTATATCATACATTAAGCACACAACCACCAAAAGTATTTGTTCGTTTGTTAGCTGAAGATGTGCCTTGTGTACGTATTACCCATTTATCCATTATGAAGATAGGGGTTAAATTATTTAAACTAAAACAAATAATATATAAAATTTTATCATTCTTTTTTTCGTGAAATTCAATAAAATTAACAGAGATCTTTCTCTAATGATAGTACATACCTGATAACAAAGAGTAGCAAAGCCCGATAAAAATATAAAAAATCATAATTACACAACGTCACTTCATAAAACTCGAGGATAAACTAAAACAATTGCAGGGCAACTGCTACATGCTACAACTTCACGTCTTCACTCTGACTATCAGATACACTGCATACCTCGCCATCTGATTGGCTGATCATGGAAACGAATTTTTCTCCTTTCCCTGCGGTTAACGTCTAGTCAAATAGGCGCTTTTCAGTAAAACTGGCGAATTACCGCGAAGAGGGCGCTATCTACCGGAGTGAAAAAATTGTGTCTTCGCACTTTACATACATTACGCATTACGGTCAAAGAAAGAGCAGACAGCATGAAATTGCAATTAAACAGTGAGTGAATGCGCTTCACTCTTTATATGTACACTGTATGGTATGCAGCATGCAGACATAATGCATTTCATAAAAATTTGGCGACCCCCCAAAAAATTTCTGGCAACCCCTAGTTTGCGCACCACTGCCTTAGAAAAAGATGCTTAATTATTATGGTTATAAGGCCCAGAATGGATTTTAAATGAAACTTAACAAAACGACAGCTGTCATTTATTTTAAGACTTGTATTTGAAGCTACAACTTGAAATTTTGTAGAAAAAAGATAAGCAGATGCTTAAGCTCTTGAAACTTAAGACTATGGAAGTGAATATTAAATGAGATTTTCAATTTGTTTTTTTATGTCATTTACCAAGATATTAGTGTTTCATAAATGTGAATTGAACTCTGTGATTAAATAATTTACTGTTAAGAACAGAGTGGTTAGATTAGTTTTGTAATTTCCATTTGTAACTTTGTTAAAGAAAATATGCTGCATTTTATTTTTGCAAAGTAAGACTTTTAATATTTTTCTCCCCTCTTTTTTCTCTCTCTTTTTCAAAGCAATGAATGTTTCTCGGAATATTTAATTTAAACTTAATTTCAGTAATCGAAAGGAATTAAAAATATATCAACTATTTTGCTTTCAGCGGAGCTCTTGCTGTTGGGCTGTATGGCAATGATACTGCTCACAATGGTATTGAAAAAGTTGAATCTGCTACAAGAAATATTTCTGAAGTTATCACGTCAGTGAAAAATCAGGTAATGTATTATATGTAGAATTTTAATTTTAAATTTGATGTATGAGTTATAAAGTTTTTATTCAATCCCAGTGTTTTTGTTAAATGGTGGATTTTTGATATTAAACACGAAATCAAAAAATGCTTTGTTACCAACTAACTATGAAAAGCCACTAGTTTTATGTCTAGTCAAAATGAGATAACCCTGTAGAATTAACTGTAAATAAAAAAATACTGCCATTTTTGAAGAAATAAAATGTGCAGAAAGTATTACAATTCCTTATATTATTCTTTATAAAGCAATTCTACCTGCTTAAATTCAGGAAATAATAGCCTGACACCTCAGTGATTAAAGTTATTTAATTTGTTACAAGTAAAAATACAAAATTTGTATTACATTATATGTCATGTACATATAAAATATTATCTACATTAGAGCAAATGTTGAAATCATTGGGGGGGGGGGTATTTTGAAGTTACAAAACAATTTTTTTTTTTTTTTTTTTTTTTTTTTTTTTTTTTTTTTTGCTCAGTTAAAAATACCAGGCATTTGAAATGCCATTTGTTAATTTAACTAGTGCAAATATTTATAAAAATTATGCAAACATAGTATAAATTACATAAAATGTTTCATTAAAAATCAAAATACATGAAATATAAAATTATTAACTGGACCTGCACCTTGTCTGGAGTATATATACAATAATACAATGGTATATAAAAAAGTAAAAAAAATCTTTTAAATAAAAATTAAAAAGGTATGGCAATGTAAATTATAAATTGCACTTTAAATGAATGTGAGCTATTGTTGAAAAAAGCCTTCTTAGAGACATTTGGATAAAAAAAACTTTTTTTGGGGAGAGCGATATCTTTAATAGGTATGTTCTGGATTTTTTAAAGTTAAATTTTAATGGAGGTTGCTTACACAGCATCATTTTTTTTCTTCCATATTGTATAAGGTTTTGAATGTCGCTCATATTACTTTCACCACTTTTTTTTTTTTTTTTTTTTTTTTTTTTTTTTTTTTTTTTTTTCAGTCTAAAAAAATTGAATCTTTGCTCAGTGATGATGTCAAACAAGATTTACAAAAACTAGACGATTTATTCAAAGTTGTTCAGAATGAAACTCTTCGCCTATTTCTTGAAACTGGCCTTCATCATATGGAAGACAATGTCAGCACTAGTTTGGACAAAATTCGTGAAATTAATCACAAAGTAGATACTGTCCATTTTCAGTCATTTCCAGACATTATTGATGAAGTTGAATTTATTAGGTAAGAGTTTTTCATTTAATCATTTTATGTTTACCAATATAATTACCATTTATCATTATAAGCATTTAATATTAAATGTTTTATATGATTGATTTAACTTCTTGATGCTGGTAATTGATAAAAGTATGATTGTAGTGCTTTTATGGTGATAACATTTTTTGAAAGGATAAGTTTTGTGTTTAATTGGCTGATGCTTTATTTAATAATGCATCTGCATTTAAATAGTACTGTTTCAACAATGTGTGTATCATTATAATTCTTTTGTTATATGAAAAGGTTACCCTGACTTTTGATTTGTAATTAAAGCTTTAAAATATATATTATCTAACCTTCTGAATATGCTGGAATGGTATTTTCTGATTACCCATCCAGCTCTCCCAAAAAATTGCCAGTCATTGGCAGCTAATTAATTCTTCACCAACCTAAAATGCAAAAGACAGCAGTAATTTTCACAGATGGTAGCTCACTAAGAATACCTAAAATAGCAATCAATTAACAAAATTTAAAATGTAAAAAATAGCCATAATAAAACAGTTTCTTCTCATCTCCTCATGTACACAACAATCTGTTTCAATGTTACGAAAAATGTTAGAGAACTGCAAAATCACACACTGCTGTTTCCCCATATACAGCACTTAAAAATAATAATAATAATAATAATAATAATAATAATAATAAGTGTTAATAATGTGTAAATAACTGAATTTGAGAAATAAATTCATTTTCCACTAAAAAAATTCATTTGGAAAACCTTAAAATATCAAATAACTCATGAAAAATTTAATCTTGCATTATCATTATTAATATTTTCTGTTTGAAAAAGCTCCCATGAAAATAAATCATTAATTCATAACATTATAGTAAACAACAAATTATATTTCATTTGTATGCAATTTCATATTTTTCAATTATGCTTTTTTTTTTTAATAGATGGCCTGCCACTATTGGTCTGTTATGTCTTCTGATTGTTTTATGCATTACTGTGATTTGGGGTGTAATTAAGCATTCAAGATGTTTACTGATATTGTAAGTAGCTTTATTTGATCTTCAGAATTTCAAATATAACTACTAAATTATAACGTTGCGCGCCTCCAACTTGCACGCAACCAAGAGGTGACTGTGACAACTGGATAAAATACAGAATCTTGTGAAGGGTTTAAGTCCCTTTTTATTCAACGTAATAAATTACAATTGCGTGCTCTTGACGCTCACAGACTGCGCCTACTTGGCGGTCAAATAAAAATAATAACCTGAAAAGAAACTAAAGACAAGATTCTAACTACGAGGCTCTCTAAAATAACTAACTCACCGCGTTTTACAATACCGCTGCTAATTCAGCAGACTTGAAGCTCACTGGAACGATTACCACTACTTCCCGCCAGCACATAGGCCGAAACGCGGGGGCTACCACCCCCCCCCCCCCCCCCCCCCCCCCCCAACTCCCTAAACCCCCTCTCCCTCCCCAACCGCACTACTTTCTTCAGCTCACTGGAACGATTACACTCTCGAACGCGGGGTTCTTCAATTTCTCGCAACTACCTCCGCGCTCGTGAAGTAAACATCACACCCGAACTCGTTTCCTTTCTATTTAAATCATAATACTTCCGCTGATAATTTGAATCCTTGCGCATTCTACTAAAATTTACATATTCTGGCATTGGCAGTTCCCAGGGAAAGTAAGGCTTGACAGGAAAGATAGTTTAAACTTAAAATAAATGTTAGTTAAAATAAATATAAACCCTACAAAATAATAAATATATATTTGTTACTTTCATTATTTCGGTTAGAAATGCTCATTTGAAGCTACTTAAAAGATTTGCTATGCAATTTAAACTAGATTTTTACTTTTTTGCTTCTCTTTCTTATTAGATTAAATTATTGTGTATGTCCATCATTCTTAGAAACAAAAAAACAACTAAAGTTGATGCTATGCTTTCTTAAAATAAGGCCAGTTGTCATTTCTGCTAGTTCTTGAAATTATGTGTGATGTAAGGTAATTGTGTTTCAAATTATAATAGTATATTGTTTATGGTAAACTGAGTGATTAGAAAACACATATACTTCTTAATAGAAACAGTAATGCGAACACAATTTGTTTAATAAAGGATGAATAACAGATGTTTCTAATATTGTGTTTGGTTTAGTGGTTTGTTCATTTAACATTGTTATATGTATTTTATTTTTTAGTGGTTGCAAGTTTTATAGCATTTGTAGCATTAGTGTGTATGTGCAGGCTTGTAATAAAATTCAGGGAATCTGAAGTACAAGATGGCAATACTGGTGAATTCTTCATTCATGGAGTTCTACAGACATTGTTTATAAAATTAGCAAAGCAACAACCTTGTGTTTGCAATAGATTTCGTCAAGAATTCAATCAATTTCAAGGGTAAACAGATACACTGCGCAAAAAAAGAAAAAAAAGGGGGGAGGAACAATTCTTTATCTCCCGTTCAACTGGGCCGATTGACAAAATTCAACTTACGATTTTCATGTCTCGAAAACGACACTTAGGATATGTATTAGATTTATGTATGGCATTGTTCTAATATAGGTATTTTGACACAAATCCGACGTTTTCTGAAATGACATGACATTTTCCCCCATATTTTGATTCTATGAGCCAAATTATGCCAAACTGCCAAATTTTGTAAAAATCACAGGAGTAACTTTTAAAAAATTATCTCTCAAAATTTTAGCTCCTCAATGCTAATTGAATTTAGCATATATTTATTATTCTCTCTTTTTTTTTATTAGATTCTTCATTTCACATTTCCAAATTTAGGTTCATTCCAAATAAAATTCGCCTATTTTCTTTATTTATTTTAAAAATTTGTATTTTAAAAATAACTTTTATAAAATTTTTACCATCATCTTAAAGTAGATCTATTTTCTAAGCATACCTGCAAAAAATAATTTAGTTTATTCAAACCTAATTTTTATTCAAAATTTCATAAGATATACGTGAATTTATATATTGGCGCGTTTTAAAATTTTGCATATTTGCTGAAAGCGTTAATAACATCAAATATGGTGTAGGCACTTTGTTAAAATTATTTGAAAGTAGGAACCATGTGACTTTTTCCTGCTCATGCACAATGTAAAGAGGTAGGACTGCTGTGACTTTTTTCCCTGCTCCTGCATAATGGAAGGGAAAGGAAAATAGGTTGCTATATATTAAGATCAAATGTTACAAAATTTAATATTTATGCATAATTTGAGTCATAGAATCGAAAAAATTTTCCATGTTATTTCAGAAAAAGTCTCGATTTTGTGTCAAAATACCTATGTTAGAACAATGCTATATATAAATATAATATATATTCGTACAGATGCCACGAAAAATTCTGTTCAGAATTAATTTTAAAGCAGTTTTATAATTTTTTTTTTGGAGGAAACTAGTCTTTTATTCTGTTCTTACGTACAGATATCACGCAAAAATATCGTTGAATTGCATTCGATAGCGGTCAAAATGGATATTTTTGTTGAAATAAGCTGCCTTTTCGCGATTACAATACTTCCTTTTTACTTCATACAGAGAAGTAAAAAGAGTTTAGACATTGCTGCATCAGTTGTTACTGAAGCTGTTATGCATTGATAAATATGTGGTGATGAAAGCAAATATAATAAATAATGGCACGTCAGGTCTCTATCAGGGATATAAAATAGGTGAATGTTTCGGTAAGCACAGTGAACAGCAGTAAACAGAGCAGAAACAGAGATGTAGGCCAAGCAGGTATCTCACAAATTTATGCTTACATGATTGTTTTTCCATAACGAGATATTTTATTTATTCCTTAAAAGTGTAATAAAGAATTGGAATTTTTAAATGCAAATTTCTACATGTTTTTATTATGTAAGAAAAAATCAAATGAGCATGTGTAAAGCATACAAAAAAAAAATGTTTGTGGCTTTGAGGTCTGGATTTTAGATTATTCCGGATAATGGACGTCCGGATTTCGGACTTTGTACTGTAGATATAAAAATTTAAAAATTAAGTTACTAGAATTTTTAAGTGTTAGGAAGGATTGGCTTGGGTTTAAAGTCATTAACTAAACAAGATAAATTTTGTGAATTTGAAAAGCTTCAAGAAGATCCAATTCACCAATGGAAGAGTTTTTTTTGAATAATTTTTACAGATCCAAAGTCAGAATTATAATTAAATTTCTAATTGTGATTAGCTCTCCAAGATTTGTTTATTTAGCCTATTCAGATATAAGATTTGTATTCCTTGAATCAAAATTTTAATGCTCTTTTAGTTTGGCCAATATATTTCAAATCACAGTAACACAATATGCTATAAATTCCCATCAAATTAAAGTATGAAATGGAATCTTTAAAAAACAAGCCATGGATTTTATTGATAGGCAAGAAAATGACATGAAAATTAAACTTCTAGAGAATCTGTGCAATTTTATTACTGACAGACGTATTAAATGGAAGCACGACAAGGTAATTAATGTTATTTCTAACAGCAGAATGTCTTCTCTGATGGTAAGCCTTTTTTTTTATATATATATTATTTTAAAGGCTTTGTCATACACCATGGGAGAAAAATCCTCGGTGAATGTGAACTACTGTTTAATGTATTCAAACATAAGTTTCACTTATTTCCACCATTAAAGTAGACTAAAGTCTTAACTCTGGGATCCCAGCATTTTTCTTGGATCTGCCCCTTTTAAAAGACTGGTTTTCTTCATCAACCTCCTTATATTTTTCTTTATGATATACAGCATACAATGTTATCATAGCACAGATAAGTGCATGTAAATAATTTAAATATAGCAATGAGTTTAAGAATACAAAAGTTTTTGAAAATAAAATGGTTTATTAGATATATGTTTCTTTTTTTGGGAGGGCAGTATTATTATCTTTAATTTTGCAAATATAAGAACTTTTCAGAAATGAAATCAAAAGTTCTAACTGCTGAAAAGTTTGATTTTAGATTAATGGCTGTACTTGATAACTTGATGCATTTTTTTTTTTTTAATATTTAGCCAAAAAAAAAAAAAAAAAATGCTTAAATTAATTCTCAAATCTCTTCATTCAAAAATATTTACCTTTTCTTGTTTTCTATAAAAAATTAGTAACTCGGCTAAATTCTGCTTGTATTAGGTAAAAAGAGGGAACAGTTAGCAATTTTGGTTCATTGAAGCATTTTGTTTTGGAATATGTTTCTTGATTGACTTTTAAATTCCAAAACCTTGTGTACCCAAGTGTTTTCAGTAAGATTTGTGCTCTCTCATTGTCTCTTCATTGCATTCAACTCTCATTACATCACCACAGTATCATTATCAGGTGTATTGCAGTTGCTGCAAGTGGCTTGTATATAACAGTTTATTTTCAGAAGAAATGCAATCCTTTTCAGTAACAGACAGTCACACTAAATTATCAAAATAATGGAATTTGTATAATTTCATTGATAAAAGAAATGAGTTTTAGAGCAAAAGCAAAAGACTTAAACATTTTAAGTTGACTAAGTTTGATGTCTCTCATCTTTGCAGTTTGTTTTGTGTGGCATCAGACAATGAATATATCAACTATGAAATGTTGTAATGCTGTTTCTTGTGTTCATTTTAACCGTATTGTTTATTTTTTGTTCCTGTGTTTTATTTTTTTAATTGCCCTTATTGTATAAGAAATTTATATAATTAAAAAATATTAATGATTTTAAAAATAACCGCAAATAGTTTTTTTTTTTCATTTTTCTCCTTTATTTATTTTATATGATTTTTTCTTAGTACGTGATATAGCTTTATATCAATAAGTGATTATAAGTATTTATTTATTTTGTTTTAATCAATAGTATCTTGGTTATGCCTATCAGTTGCTGATGTATATTCAGCTGTTGACCTCTTTAAAGTTTTATTGACTCCTGATCTATCTCTATGAAGATAGGCATGCAAACAAAATTTTGTTACTGATATTAGATTGGGAAAATTACTTTATAATTCAATGATAAAAGTTTTGAATACTGTTAGGTGAAATTCTTAAATTTCGTTTTTTTTTTTTTTTCTATTGTATAAGTATATACACCGAAGAGCCATTATATTATGACCACCCATCACCTAAAGAAATGAATTGTCCTAGAGACAACCGCAGTGCATGCATCGTTGATGCTCGAGCATAAAGTGACCATGCATTGTTTTTTCACACGTAGAATGTTTAGTGACAAAATGAGAAAAGCTTCTGTTTTATCAGTTTGTGATAAAGGTCAAATTGTTATGGCTCGAAACCTGGGAACATTTCAGAAAGGGAGTTTTTGGTGGGCTGCTCTCATGTGACCATTGTACTTATCAAAGGTGGTGTATGGATGCTGAAATGACAAGTCAATTGGCTAGCAGTTTGTTGTCCATGGGTTATTGATTCTGAGAGGAGAGATTGTTACGTGTTGTTTGCCATGATCAAAGAACTACAACAACGAAAATCACCAGCAGCTACAACAGTGGCGACCTAGACAGTGTCTTGACACACTGCAGCATGCACTTGCTTGTGTGCCTATGCAGCCAGCACCCAAATTGTGTCCCTGTGCTGATGGCACGTCATCGCCAACAGTGCCTTCAGTGGGCAAAAGGAACATTGGCATTGGACCACAGAAGAATGGAAGGAAGTTATGTGCTCCACCAATCATGTTTTCTGGTCAATCACATAGACAGGTGAGTGTGAATGCACCAATTTTTAATAGAAGCCTTGGCAGCCAGATGCAGAGTTAACTAGATATAAGGTGGTAGTGCAGTGTTATGGTGTTGGCAATATTTTCACAGAACACATTTGGACACATCATTTACATAGAACAATTTTTTTTGCTTGTGTAACACGTGAACATCACTGCATACCAGATGCATCTGTTCATGGCAACAGTGTTCTTGGTGGGTGATGCTGTTTACTTATTTGTATTAGCATTATTCTTAATTTTGGATGATGCACTTCAGAAACATTAAGAATTTTATTATTTTGGGGATGAAAAAGAATATAACCAAATTAAAAAGAAAATTTCATGAAATATTACTTTCCAGTTGAAAGATAGTAGTGAAACTAAAATCATACACACTATCATGTATGTAGATAATGCATATATCTTTGTACTTGAGATCATAAATATTTAAGTGAACATTTTAATTTATATTATAATGTAGTTTATAGGGAGTAGGTGCTATTGATTGAAATGAGCAATGGGCATGAGTTCCCATGCAGTGTTTGAAATGTGTTTTTAAATATAAATCCTATAGTGGAGAAAAATCTGAAATGTTTAGGTAAATTATCACTGTGTTTGTATTTTGTATTTAATTTCTACTTTCTGTGTTATCTGAAATGTGTTTTTTGTAACAGTCATTAATTTGGAAAATATTTTAAATAATATGTTTAAGCTATTTTTTATGCATTTCAGATTTTCAGTATTTGGATTATTGTCTGTAGTTGTGTGTTGGGTATTAGTTTCTTTATATGTTGGAATTTGTGTGGTAAGTTTGTTTAATTAGTACTTTATCACTTCTTATTTCTTTTAATGTTAGAAAGTAATAGAAGCTTTAGTAAATACTACATTTATGATCTACGTTTTGGCTTAAAATTATTACTTTTCAAATTATATCAATTTGTGAAACTTGCTTTTATGTTCCAGCATGTGTCTTTCTGCGTCATATGATATTGCAGTACAAAAATGTACTTAATTTCTTTTATGTTGTTGCATCTAACCTCATTCTTCCCATTTTCGAAATATTTTTTTCTCATACTACTTATGCCCGATAAATTCTCAGTAACATCATTCAGCCTCTCTTTTTATATTTTTATTCAGAATTATTTTAAGCCTTTTATTACAAATGCTATATAAAGAAGAGATTGTAGCATATTTTTATTTTTTGTGCAGTAATTTTATATTTCTATGGTGGCCATTCTTTAATATTAGGATTTAAAAGTTTTTTTTAGTCCAGAAGGGGTGTTAATTTTGTTTTGGCATTTTGTGTCTGAATCACTTTTCAAATTTTTGCCACCAAATATTATCACCCTGTATTTATATTGAAAGAAATTAAATTATGAAAATTCTGCATAAATGTATGTGTGATAAAACAATGGTATCTAGAGCCATCAAATTTTGAATAACATACATATCCACCTGAATATGGGCATTTAGAAGTCCAAATTTGGAATTTGTTTTATTATCTGTTTCATATTTTGTAAAGCTTTATGAGTTTTTGATTAAGAAACTCAACGATTCCAAAGCAAGCATTGGCAGCACTGTATAGAAAAAAAAAAGAGTTTTTATCTCCAGCGTGCGAGACTGTGCATCAGAAATTCTAAAGATATGCTCTTTTTAAATTATTGAATTGAATTTTATCATTTAGGTGTGAAGAACATGATATTTAATAAATAAAGGCAACACACGGAACATTAAAAAAAGCCCCTTTAGGCCTAATAAAAAATCTGAAATCTTTCGGATTTTTTTCCCCTTATTTTTTATCATGGTTTTTTTTATTTTATGGGGAGGGATTACTAATTGTTTTTCAGCTAAATTGTGCTTTGAAAGACTTTCTTTTTGACTGAAATTTATTTTCACATAGAGCATAAAATAAAAAGAATTCCAGATGAATAAGTTCAATAACTTTATACATTATCTGTATAAGAGGGGCTTAACAATTTGTACAAGGTGTGTATATTAAATTCCAAAACTGTACATGTAGTTACTGAAGAAAAATGTGTAGGAATGCATCGTCATGCGGATGTGATAGCATAACCAAAGAGGTGTAACAAATGTGCAGTGATTACATCAGCATTTCCGGTTTGAAGTAGGTAAACGCAGGTTCATTAGAGTGCGTGTCACATTCGGTGATGGAGCAAACGGCGAGGGAAACGTACGAATTACTGAAAATTGCGTATGGAAATACTGCTATGTCCCGCTCCCGTACTTTAGAGTGGTATGCACGCTTTTGCAATGGCAGCGAAAACACAGATGACCAGCGCAGTGGGTGACCCATCACAAAATTGAACAGAAAAGAGGTTGCAAAAGTCTGCACTTTGGTCACTGCAGATTGGCGAAAGACTCTTAGGATGTTTGCAGACAAGTTAAATGTAGGCAAGGGCACATTGGACAAGATTTTGAGGGAGAATTTGGAAAAGAGAAAGATTTGTTTAGTGGTTTGTGACGTATTTTTTGGCAGGCAATCATAAGTATGCAGAGTGGAAGCTTGTAGGGACTTAATTGATGCAGCTGACCGAGATCCATCATTTCTGCAATCGATCATGACAGGCGACACATCCTGGTGTTACCAGTACAATCCCAAAACAAAAAGACAGAGTGCTGAATAAATATCACTATCTTCTCCAAGACAGAAAAAATTCTGTTGACCGCTTTTTTTGATGCACATGGACTGATCCATCACAAGTTTGTGCCACCTGATCAAACTGTTAACAAAAAGTACTTCGAAGCTGTTTTGCATGTGTTAGTTAAACAAGTACACCGAATATGGATAAAGGCTGCTGGCTCCTACTCCACGACAACCCGTGACCCCACTGTGCTCTCATTGTGAAGCGCTTTTAGGCAAAACATGACATCGTAGAGGTTAATCATCCTTCGTATTCTCCTGATTTTTCACCTCCTTACTTTTACTTGTTGCCCAAACTTAAGACTGCTCTGAAAGGGCATCGATTTCAGGACGTAGAAGACATAAAGGAAAACGTAACCACTCAATCTTCAAAGCATATCTTCAGAAGACTATAAAGCGTGTTTCCAGAATTTGTACTGCCATGCACAAAAGTGTGTGACTGCCGGAGGTGATTATTTTGAGGACTATTAAATGTATCTTTGTTTTTTATTATTCATTCTGTTGTTTTAGCCCCAGTACTCGAATTTAACAGATACACCTTGTATTACTAACTATTTAGCCAAAAATGGTGGTGATATTCCTTTCCAAAAATCATAAAGAGATTCTTTGTTAGTTGTTTTTAAAACTAATAAGGAATTTGGGAATATATATATATATATATATGTATATTTGAAGAACACAAAACAGTAATTTTCTGTGTTCTTTTCTGATTATCAGGTTTTCCTTTTCTGGACATGTTGATCATAGATATGTGGTACTGTGTGTTGATTGTTGTATGTATATGTGGTATTTGCATGTTAATGCCACTAGTGGTTTCCATTGATGAATTTGATAGCACTCTCGCTAATTTTCTTCAAAGCAAGCAAACTCTCATCAGTTCGAATGATGTACCCATTTCTTAATTTTTTCAATCTTTCTTCTTTCATTTTGGATAAGTATATCTCTCAGAGATAATATTTCTAATTATATATGGTTTTGTTTATCAATATCTTTCCTTGGCAATGCAATTTTATTTTTGATACAATTTCTTGCATCAAAAATAAAAATTGTGTGGCTGTCATAAATATGATTCAGCTTACAATTAAGTAAAGAAACAACCTTGTGTGAGTCTTGATTAAAATGTGTGCCAAATGCAAAGTTCTTGCTTTGCTTAATTTGCTTGCTTTACTTTGGCATGCTTTTCATCTCTCTTGATTCAGCTTCTTTCTGACCAATTTCCTAGTCACATTGTTTCAGTTTGCTTCATGTACCTCTTCCACAGTTTTTCTTCTATAGTTTTGAAAAATAAAAGTAGGAAGTACAATACAAAGTCTTTAATCCGGAATGATCTATAATCTGGACCTCAAAGCTACAAACTTTCTGCGCATGCGTAGCGTTTAAGCATGCGCATAATACGTTTGCGCATGTGCGTTTAATGTATAACGGACGGTATAAGCTAGGCTAAAATTATCTAATTATCTATTTCAGTTAATGTTGCAGATTGCGTTGTTCCTTAATCTTTTAATTGGATCCAGCTTATTATTTTGCAGAGAGTTATTTATAAAAGGTAAGCAATGCTGTTAGAGCAATTTTATAAAAGGTAAGCTTGAGCTTTTGATTATGTCAAAAAGAATTTCCGATTCTGGAGCTGCCAAAGGATCTATAAAGCAAAAGCATGTTTCGATGCCCATTAAACAAAAAGTGGAATTGCTCCAAAAAATTGATAAAGGCATGAAGAAAGTGAAAGAGACGTTAGTGAAATTTAAAAATTTTGATTGACAAGTTAGTCAGTATTCTCGGCACAGCAGTTACAGGACTTAAACAACGGAACTTCTGCCTGGGCCACTGGTTGAATTCTCCTCTGTGCATCTCTATCTGCAAAATCTTGAAGGGAATAATCCATAAATGATAAATACTTTCTTTACACAAACATATTTAATGAAGATGCAAATGGATTACAGAATATTTACATAATGAAAACTGTTTAAATGTGGCACAACGCAGCGTGCGACTTCTCCGTTCTGAGTTTTCTTGCAATTTCTAAGCGAGAGTTCATAGTTCGAGATGACGTCACTCAGCCATCGGATCTCAGCAAGAGTTGAGTTGCAACATGAGGTAATATGTGATGGCCTAATAAATGAGTGTTTTTATTTTGAAGCCTAGATGGGATCTGTAGCATTAGCAGTCACAAAGATAATTTTATACAAGTTCTTTTAATCCTTTAATATATAATCTTCTTAAGGAGTTATATTTCATTTAATCTGAAGTTGAATGTGACTTCTGGAAACTGCCCATATGGGATAGTGGTTAGTGGCCTGCAGTACCAAAGGGTTCAGGTTCAAACCCCAGAGTTGGCATGGATGGTTGTGAGTGCATTGTGTGTCTACAGCAAATGGGTCTCAAAATACACAGTGAACTAAAATAATCCTCTTGAAAAGTTGGGGAAAAGAGGAGTGGGAAACCCTCGGACTGTCCTCCCAGGCTGCACTTCCTCAGAATTATAATTGTGGCGGAAACTTAGCAGTTAGCACAGTGAGCAGTACCTAATATACCTGCATGAATGCAGCTGTGTTGATTTCGCTTGAAACTGTACCAGTCACTTGTGGCACTGAATAGTTCTTGAACCAAACACTATACAATTGCTGTGTTTATATGGTAATTTTTGTTAGCCCTCTAAAATATAGACAAATATCTGTGATCTCTAGTCTAAAGTATAGACAAGACCTGTTAGAGCTCTTAGTTTGTAACAAATTTGATTTACAAACAGAACTTTTGCCATTTGGCTACTTGTGTTCCCACAAAACAGAAGTGTTTTTTTATAATTTATCTAAGCTTTTTCTTATCACTGATAATCAGAATTGTGATTTAAAAAAACTGGAAAAGGAAAGTTCATTGTATTGGGACATTGTAAAGTTCATTTTTGACTTTTTTTTTTTTTTTTTTTTTTTTTTTTTGTGAATGGATAGTTTATGTATTATTTTCATAAGTTAAATAATTATGCAAATTTTGCATTTAGGCTGGGTCTGACTTCTGCCTTGATCCAGAACCATTCCTGTATCAACAAGCTAATGGAGTTGTTGAATCTGGTAAAATAACAATTAATTAGAATTTTCCAAAATGTGTAATAATGATTTTAACATGAACTTTTATTGAAAAAAATATTCACGTTTTCTCTTGTCAGCATTTATATGAATCTGTTTACAGATTTTATAGTATAGTTTGTATGTTTTGAAGTAAAATTGCTGGTTGCATGTTGTTACTGCAATAGGTCGTATATCCTAAAATGCCTCTTTTAAGGTATCATTCAGAGGTAAATATCATTTGGCCTCCTGAAAAGCAGTGTGTCAAGAAAGAAGACTATATAAACATGTCCTAGTACGCTTTGTATTGCTTTAGTCTTTACAACATGCTCTTTTTCATTTGATTTCTCAAATTTGCTTTTTTTGACATGCAACCTATTGCAGCAACAATGTACGTATGAATGCTTTTTATTGTAATGCTACAATACTGTTACATATTTCATGCAGTCTTATAGAACCATATTCTTGAAATATTAGACTAATTTTTGAACCCATTCTTCAATAGATGGATTATTTTTAGTGTTTGATTCGAATACAATGTCAAGTCAGGTTAACGTGACCACTTGTTAACATCCAGAATATCTTTCATATGCAGTTCAAATAGTGGCTAATGTGTTGGAAAGTACTCAAAAGGATATGGAGCTATGCTGACTGCAGTGCACTTGATAGTTGTTGGAGGGTGCATAGCAGAGTATTCATAGAGAGAACAGCTTGATAGCAGTAGTTCCATAGATTCTTGATTGGGTTTAAATCTTAAGAAATTAGGCGCCGTTTATTCTTAGGGAGAAAAATCTGCAAGGATCAGTGCATATATAATCTTATACATAGGACCAATCACAATGATGAATAGACCCAGAGAATGTCATAAAAACATTTGTCAGAAATGCTGCCCCTGCCAGCTTGATGTTTAGGTCTAGAAATGGTTGAGAAAGTGTTTTTTTTTTTTTCATTGATTTTTACTGTATGCTTCAAAAGAATCAGAGCAAATAAATCTTTATTAGAGAAGGAAACCTTTATCTAATCAATGAAAGTCCACTCATGGAAATGCCAGACAAATTCCTATCTCTTCTACCAATGAATAGTTGCTAGCATAAGTACTGTCAGCATCCATCTGTTGTAGAGTACCATACGCAGTAAGGTTGGTTAAACTGCCATTTTACAGACACTTGTGGTAATGCCTTTGAATAGTAAATTGGTCCACTGTAGCATGTCAGTCAGCCTGAATGAATCGCTTCAGCTACCATTCACCTTTTTCATCAATGGCTTCAATGCTCTGCTGTTTCTATATTTTGCATAGTGCCATTTTGCCATTCACTTTCTGGATAGTTTGCAGCGTGCAAACAATCCAGAAAGTGCATAGTTTCTGAAATGCTGTCACTCTTCGCTCAAAAGCCAGTAAGGCTGCTATCCTACATCAGTTTGTTTCGAAAGAACAACTGTTTGGAACAATTTTTCTGCTTTGTCACAATAGTCAGTCACCACAGATCGCTTTGGGGTTAACACAGGGGAAACTGGTTCTCCATCACAAACAAGCTGATAGCTGAATGGTTGAAAACAAACAACTTGCAATTTTTTTTCGAAAGGAAGGGAAAAAAATCACGCATCTTTCTTTCAATAGTAAACCAGGCAGAAAAATTACCCAAAACATTTGTTCGTGTGAAACAAATGCCCGTAGGATATGGGCGCAATCAGACCTTTTTGTAAGTCTAATAAAGCACTCTGTCTATTCTTAACAGCAGTACTTTGAAAGGTTTGCAAAATGTTTTAAATCACACTCTATAATAACCACCAATTCTGCATTAATCATGAATAAAAAAAAAATTTGTAATAGCTATTTTATTCTGATGTTTGTATGGTATTTATTTCATATCTGCTATTCCTTTAATCAAGATAACTCTTGTTCATCTATTGTTATTTTTCTGTTGTCATTTTATGCCAGCATTGATAGCAACAGCATAAAATGATGATAGAAAGACGACGATAAATGAATTATATGAGAATTTTCTTTCAAAATAATTATTGAATTGTTGTAAAATAATTCATAAAACAACAAATTCTATGCATGACAAATTTTATTTGAATATTTTTGATATCATAAACTAAAATATTATTCTTTCTATTGATTTCAGTGTTGATATTTATTCATAAATTAATTTTATAATTCTTATATCATGCAAAAAATTAGCATGCCTTGGAATTCATTATTCTTCGATTTAAAAAAAAAAATATATTATTTTTTTAATATTTTTTCTTTCTTTGTTTAGGCGTTTTAACTTACTACATCCATTGTGATGAGAAGATTCAAGATCCATTTAATAAAGTAATTTCTCTTTATTTTTGCATTCATTAATAAAATACTTGTTCATTAATAATCAGATTCATTTTTTTTATTTATTTGACATTTTTTAATGAAATGTGTTTATTTAGGCAATATCTGAAGGTACCAATTCTTTGAAAAATGTGAAAGATACTTTAAAGCAAATAACTGAAGTGGCATTGTTGGTATTGCATGACAAGATTGAAGTAGTAAGTCCTTTCAAAATGTGTAGTATCATGTTTTTTAAAAGTATACATTTTATAAAACATCATTGTATTTATAAAATATTAGTTTTTAAACATGGCTATAAAATAATTGATTTTTGAATACAAACTTGATAATAATAATTTAAAAAAAAAAGACCTAGAGGTAAAAAATATACCTATTTTTGGTTTACATACATATCTAGTATACTGTACTTGTAAGCTGATCTGTATTAATATTTATCTAACTGTCAGCTGTGATTTCATTAAAATTTTTTTAATTCAACATTTGGCAAAGTTTAGCACACTTTAAGCAAAAAGGTTGCGTTTTGATCAGAAGCAGACTGCTGTTAACATTTTATGTACTACGAGGGTTGGAACTTTAATAGTGGCAACTATTTATTTACAAGGAATACAAAAGTGATTCATGTCACCATGTTTTACAGTCCTTCAATACAGTCACCAGCATTGTGTACAACCCGTTTCCAACGATGTGGAAGTCGCAGAATACCTGTAGCAGCGCCTGTTTTGTTGATAGTTTGAATGGACCGGTCTACTGCCGCAAGAATCTCAGGAACAGTTTGGAAGCGAGTGCCACGAAGTGTTTCCTTCATCTTAGGAATTAAGTCATAGTCACAAGGGCTTAGATCTGGGGAGTATGGTGGATGGTAAAGCACTTCCCAGCCCCATCGCTTGAACAAATCAGTCACAGCTTGCGCTGCATGCGGCCGAGCATTGTCATGCAAAATGAGAGGAGCGTTCTGCAGAAAGTGTCGCCGTTTTTTTCTCAAAGCTGGTCGGAGATTGTGCTCCAAAAAATGAGCAGTAATACTGCGCAGTGACGGTCTGCTGTGGGGGAACGGTATGCGTTAGGATGACACCATCACAGTCGTACACGAGAATCACCATAACTTTCACATTGCTGGGGTTCTGACGAAATTTCGAACGTCGTGGTGACCCGTGATGACACCATTCGTTTGATTGGCGTTTCAGTTCTGGCTGGTATGATCGGGCCCAAGTCTCATCCAGCGTAATGATACTGCATAAAAAGCATCTCCTTCGCGCTCATAGCGCTCCAGGTGGGTTCGGGCAGCATCGTATCGTAGCCATTTCTGCATTTCCGTCAATTGATGTGGAACCCATCGTGAAGCAATTTTTCTCATGGACAGGCATTCCTTCAGAATGTGCAGCACAGTCGTATGCGCTAATCCTGTTTGTCCGGCCAGCTGACGAATCGTTTGGCGGCGATCACTGTCCATTAGTGCGGCAACAGCTTGCACGTCTGCATCGCTGACACTCGGACGACCTGGCCGCAGCATGTCTGCCACGTTTTGGCGTCCTTCATTGAATGCTTTCACCCATCTTGCTACGGTTTTGTAAGGCAATGCAGATTCCCCGCAAGCCTCTTGAAGCCCTTGATGACACTGTCGTGCTGTACGACCTCTGGCACATTCAATTTTTATCCAACATCGTTGTTCTTGTTTTGAAAACATCCTGACAACACTTACTTTAGACCGCGAGCTAATACAAGCATCCATTCTTCACGTCACTCCGCATGCGCGTGACGTAGGCAGGACGAGTCTTTTTGCTGAGAGGTAAGGTAGGTATGTAGTTTACGTGTGGTATACGCGATATTCTTTGGTTTTGTTGCGTAGCGTTTTTTCAGCTGTGTTGCCAGTATTAAAGTTCCAACCCTCGTAGATTTTACATCATTTGAACCCATTGCTGTCTCTTATCAAAATGGTTCTGTGTGGTCCTTTTCTAGAGACAGTAAAAGTTATCCATAATGGCATGATGACACTTTATTGCAAATATCAAATTTCTTAAGTTCCCCCACTCAGTTTCATTGTATATCAGACATTCCAATGCAAATAATTTTTTGTTACTGTTATGTGTTGTTTATTATGATGAATGTTTTCAGATTGAGGAAACTCTGAATCATTTAAATGAGCACATCAATCAGACTGGGACATTGTTGGATGGTATCATAAATGTCCTAAAATGTGATTATGTCAATGGAGAGTACAGGACTGCTTTGGAATCAGCTTGCACCGATACACTGTGAGTTTGAAATATTAACACTTGCCCCTTTACCTCTTTCGTTATTTTAATATTGTTATTATATCTAAAATTTTATTTTAAGGACTGATCATTTTATATATTAAAAGTTTTTTTATAGATGTTTTTAGCTGTCTGAATTAGTATGTTATCTGAATACTATTTGTATTTGTTGGAGACTGGCCGCAGGTAGCGCCCCTGACTCCGTATAATGATTAGTACATTTATGAGGTTGTGTAATACTTACTGCAGTTTAAGCTCAAAACATATTTATTACAATTGCAAGAAGCTCTTTACAAATATATATAATTCATGGATAGCATAGAACAGTTATTGAAGTGAAGTATAGTCCTTGTGACCTGACGATCCTGATAACGAGGGTCTCTCAAGTAGAGAGTTCAAGAGCATTCTGGGTCTCTTTAATCAAGAGTTCAGGAGCATTCTGACATGTTCTTCTGATGGAAAATACCTTCAGACTGAATTAGACATGCCTCCTTAATTTTTCAGTAGTATTTTACATCCTCTGATTCGTTATATCTGGAATGGTATCAGAGGCAAAACAAGATCATTGGTTTGTCAGCCATCCTGAAATCAAGAGGCTTTGATGACAGACACAGTGCAGAATGCTAAAATTTCTTAATGCTGGTCATGAAGGTATATCTCCTGTACTGTCAAAGAGCAGGAATAATTGTGTCTATGCTGTCAGAACCACGTCGTGTGACACATTGTAAAAGCTTGGAAACGATGACTTATGAGCACCGCACACAGAATTTTCTCATCTCTGTGTGGTCTGTAGCATAGTCTAATCATATTAGAAATTTCTTAGTGACATCTTATTCAGAATTAACAGCATAGATAGATTTTTCAGCCTCTGGTATAAACCAGTGTTTTAGTGCTTATATTTTGTGCTGTGTATATTTAGTTCTTATCAGACTCACCTACTTAAGAGTTTAGCTAGCTAACGTTTGTTGAAAACAGCCTTTTTGTTGTTTTTTATCTTAATAATAACTGAGTATAATTTTGGTAATTTATGAGAAAAATGTTTTGACTATAATAAATGAATATGTAATATATTCAAATAAAAATTTTTGAAAGTAATTTTATAATAAACTTTTACATTCAAAGTGTACTGTATATAATTTGCTGATAAAAGTGTAGCATGTTTGCAAGATATGATTATGACACAGATTTTTATATGGCACTTTAAATGTCCTCACAGATCATTTTTGTTTCTTCTAAGTCGCAGAATAAATTAGCTCTTTAAACATTTTCATAATTTCCTCTTCGCATTATTTATATGTAAAATAATATAAATGATAAATATTTAAAAATATGAACCAGTTTTTTCTTGAAACTTATTTTAAAGCAACTTAGTTTTACGTTTGTTTCTCAATAAGTATTTCCTTACCAAATTAGATACACATTTCTACTTTAATTCTTCAAATACTGTATTTTAAAATTAATCAGTATTGATTAAATTTTAAATGCAGTAGGTGAATATATATTTTTTTTATTTATTTGTTTGATCTACTATGCACCATTGAAAAAAGTATTGTTAAAATAATGATTCTAATGTTGACTTTGATAAAGGTCATGCCCTTTACACACACATATATATGTAAATGTTGTAAATGTGGATCATATATTTTAATAAAGTGAGTTTATTGCAGTAACTGCATGATAAGTTTTAAAATGACAGCTTGGAAAGATGTCTGGAAGTAACTTTAATTCGTTAGAATATTTATTATGATATAAGTTTATATATTTTGTGATACATTTAGTTAAATTAAATTGCATGAAAAGAGGGTTAAAAAAATTCAGTTAAAATTCCAGTTACCTGAAGACTTCAAATTTTCTAATATAGATTAATAAATTTAATTTTATTTAGTGTTTTTCTAATCATAAAGCTGTACCTTTTTTTTAAAAAAAAAAAGATGGTAAAGAGATGTTACCCTGACAGTCATTGTTACGAGTTTTGTATATACATAGATAATTTTGGTGAAATTATATGTAAAATTGTATTTCGTGTGTATAACATAACATGAAAATCTAAAGGAGTGAAGCATACTGAAAAAGTAAGAATACAGGGGCAACTTTGAGTAAATGCATAACTCGCTAATTTGGCGAGAAATCTCCAAAAGTCACCAAACTTGGCAATATTTTTTGGCAGTCCCTGTATCACCGTTATAGGTATTGTAATTTATGTTTTGTGTAAATGTAACTGTGTTTGGCCCTTATGTGTCTTTCGGTAATTATGAGAAGCAGAAAGTACTCAAAATATCTCGTCAGCCGGATGAAAACTGTGTAAGGCTGAAGAGAATATCTGCCCTAAGTAAATCATATAGCTGTAACTATAAAAAAGATGTTACCCTTACAGTCATTATCTTTAGCTTACAAATTCTTAGTCATGATGCAAGCTTGATAAGTATGTTTTAAAAATGCATTAAATATATTTATGTTTAAAAATATCACTCACTTCAGTTATGGTATAAATTTTGGGAAACTTTTAATATTACCATGTTTTGTATCATTTTAATATAACATAATGGCAGCATAAAAAGCTGTCTGGAAGTAACTTAAGTTTTTTAGAATCCTCATTATATAAGTTTATATATTTTGTGATACGTTTATATGGAAAAGTTCACGACAGTTTTAAGAAGTAAATGGTAGAAAGCTGTTGTGTTAAAAAATATGACTATCTGATTGTTTATATGAATGTATTAAAAAATTTCACATTTCTTTTCTGAATTTTTAGTGAGGGTACTGCATTTATGTTGGTGTCTGCTGTTGGAAGTGGATTATTGTTTACTGTTCTTATTTGGGTGGCATCACATACTTGGATACATATAAGAAAAAAGTAATTTATTCTTTCTGTTTTTGTGATTTTGCTTTAATTGTTAGGTTTTCTGCCATATTTGTGGATAAATTAAGGAGCTTTGCAAATAGTATGTAATTTAGAATGTCTGCTTATTGAGTATATTTTGTATTGCAATTACTGTATCAACTTCTTCGCAATATGGCGAGGAGAATGTCATATATTTTTACCTTAAAATATACTAGACTATTTAGGTACTCCTAATACAAAATAAGAATCATTTTAGAGGATTGTGAGGTATGTGTATATATATTGCTTGCCTAATTAAGATGCATTATAATTTGAAATTAACTTTTCGGTGTGAAAAGTGTGTTATTCTGAGAAATTTTGAGATCTTACTAGTTTTGTGCAAGCATAAATATGAACTGAGTAATAGAGAATTTTTGAAAAATAATCAAAATACTAACTGAGGCAAATTCTCATTTGAAAAAATGTTTTAAACTAGTTTCTGTTTAAATTTTGTGCCAAATTAAAAAAAAAAGGAAGGAGATGTGATATCAGCAAATAATTCCAGTGTAATGTAAATCCTCTTCTGTCAAAAAGATATATATATATATTAAAAAGTCTATGTTTAAAATTGATTAAAAAGCTAAATTTTGATAATCCTTTTAAGAGTTTAATAATAAAATTAGCTTCTTAATGCAGATATTAGTTTGGTTGGCTAATTAATAATTTCATATGGTAATGAAGTTAATACAAAAAAATTTTGTATATTAAAGTTGTTTCATGCAGTCTTTCATTTTAAATTATAAGATTAATTTAAAATACCTTTTACTCTGTTTTTGCTAAAGCATAAAACCTCCCCTCCCCCCATAAAACCCATTGGTCCAATATCTGAAATGATCTAAAAACAGTTTTTTTTTTTTTTTAATTTCACTTTGGCATTAAATAAAATACTTCTATACTTAAGAAACAATCATTTATTAGCATTCATTAACAATCATTTATGATCTGTATGATCAATAATTTGTCTGGAAACATTTTTGAATTTACACCTACTGAATAATTTATATCCTTGATGCCAGGGTGGGGAATCATTATTTATTATTTTTTGCTGTTGTCAGCATAATTTTTGACACATGGCAACTTGAGAAATGTCTCATACATTTCATCCAGTTATGTGTAAAACATTTAAAAAAAATACTAGTAATTAAATGTTGAGGGCTATGGTAACCTTTTAGGTTGACATTGCCCTCAACATTTAATTACTAGTATTTTTTTTTTATCATAGCTACATTACTTGATCATAGCTACATTATTTAGCTAACTGTAATGCCAAGTAGAAATTTCAGTGGAAATGGAAATTAAATTTCACAAATTTCTTTCCGAGTGTTGAGGAAAAGAAATTCCAAATTGAGAATAACTGGTCCACTAGGGAAGGTGAAATTTTTAGAATTCAGAGGAGTGCCAAGCAAAGCAGAATTTAGGACTCACAGAGACTGTGCTGGGCCACAAAATATCTAATGGAAAAACCTTAAGTATGAGAATTTATTTAATCAAGTCTCTGATAAACCTGGAGCTTATGCACAAAATAAGTGTAAGTCTAATAAATAACTAAACTAATATAATTCATGCTTAATTTCATCAGCATGCGATAGAAGGAAGAAAATATTTACTGGAACAGCATAGCTTTAGTTGATAATCTCATGACACATCACCAATAGTTTATAGTGGACACTACATAATCTTTGTAATGATAGTGCGAACTTGATGGCTTTTAGATGTTGCAAACAAAAAAGCAACATTGTCCATTTGAGAATTTGAGAATTGATAATAAGTTCAGATATAATGAAAATTTTTCATTGCAATGGCTGCTGGAGTCAGCAGTCAACTAGTGATTCAACTAATTCAGTCAACTAATTTGAAGATTTTCAGATATCCAAAACAAAATTGAAATTTTCTAGATAACAGAATTTGTAAAGTATGAGTAAATAAATAAAGTGGATAAGTGGTAGTAAACAAAGATGACATAACAGGTTTTTTTTTTATTGCGGTGACAATGTGGCAATCATCAGTCAGCTAACAGATGGCAAAACCTGTAGTGTGGCTTTAATTCCAGAAAATATTGCTACAAACAGGGAAAAAGTGCTGAAAAGGGTGTTGGAAAAAAAAAACAAAAAATTAGTGGGAATTTTCGAACAGAAATTACAGGACTTGAAGACTGGAACTCTGTAACTCAAGAAGAAATTATCTGTATCTATAGAATTAAAGAAAAAGTATTTGCACAAAAAACAAAGCAACTAAAACAACTTAAGTTGAAAGCAATGTTTAACAAAGCAAACAAATAAGCATTGTGCTCCTTTTTGTAAATTATCTTAAGGTCGTAAATGCTTCATTATTTCATAAACTTCTATTTCAGGTTTTTAATTTTATAATTTCTGCATGTCATCTTACTAGGTTTAAACTGATGATTTAACATCTGGAAAAATCCAGAATCACTGATGTCTTGATAAGTGTGGATCTTGGACTTTGTACTGTATTCTTTCATGATTTAAAAAAATGTCTAGCAAGATTTCCAGCTTTAAATTTATTTGTCAAATATGCATAATAGAGCTACTGGATTTTATATTATTACATCTTACTCTTCTCTGCTTCTCTCAACTGTACAATTGTTCTATTTCAGATTGTTAATTTTTTAAATAAATACACTACTAAACTTAAAAACAGAGCATCTGGAAGAAATGGTGCTGCAACTGTTATTTTTTCAGGACTGGTATAGCACGCAGTATAAAGTAAATGATTATCATTTCAAATTCATTGGTTAATAGATTCCAACATTCTGCGAATGAGAGTTCAAAGCTTATAAATTAGCCTGGATTGTCTTCTAAGCACATGTGGTTAAATAGAAATTTCAGAGCTTGTTCAGCTGTGAATGAGGATCCTTTTGTATTATTGAGTTAACTGTATAATCAGATCAGGGACTTTAAATATAGCATTTGTTGGTATAAAAGAACTCAAATGTTTCTTCCTATCATATTACCAGATGTGAGTGAAAAGGAATGTTTCTGTAGTGGACAGAATAAGTACAGACTTATTGGAAGAAGGGTACAAGATTCCCCCTCCCCCCCCCAGAAAAAAAACTTCTGGATGTTTTGTACATACATTAGCAAAAGAGAATTATCATCTTATTAGGATGATTATTCCACATTGTTGGTAGTATTGTCATAGCAATGATAAATGAAAAACATTCACCAAATCATCTATTACACATCACCATTTATTATGTCCTTTATTGCGGGTTCTACCATTTCTTAGAATATCTCAGAAGTATTCTGCCAGACTGCTGCTATGGTGCATGAAATGCTGTGTGTGGCAGGAAAAGCGGCATAATGTCATCTCTGCTGAAATAATTTTGCTGAAGTAAAAAATTGATTGAATATGTATGTGTAACTGGCAGGTAAGAGTTACCAAAAAAACTTCATTTATACCCAGTTTACATTGCCAGCAAGGTGCATTTTTTATCAGGTTTTATTGGATTTAAAGCAGATCACTTCTCATAATGACAGATTATTGCCTCCCAGTTGGTTCAGTGTTGTAAATTATTACCACTGTAAATGTACAAGTGATAAAAACATCTGTTTCTTAAAATATGTTAGCTTTTCTTTGTGATTAACTCATAAATGGTATCTCCACCAAAATCAATTATTGCATAACTCAAAGAATGCATTAATTCGAGAATGGATGGAATTTGTACTTTTCACTGCAAGTTTTGAACAGCAATGTTAGTAGAATGTTGTATACTGTAGGGAGATGATGGCTGCTGATTTTGGCAACTCTAAAAAGGGTAATGATTTACTTGTTCTTTAATTTTCCAATCATTCAGCAGCTTTAAGAGCATAAATTATTTTGGTTATAATGTTTTTTTCTCCTTCCTTTCTGCATGCCTTCATGGTGTAATTGGAAGCAAACTCGATGCATATTCCAGAGGTCCAGTGTTCGAGTCCCAGAGAGAGCATTGTACATTTTTCACGTCTCCTGCTTCAAAATAACCTAATGACTTAACAAACAGTGCCCAAGCTAAAAGGTGGTGGACAATAATTCATTACCATCAGGATTTAGCAATTGAGTCCCCTAATTCCCAGTTGCCCTTTAAAATGGAAAGTATATAAGGTATTTTCTGCCTTCGTGGTCTTATGGAAGCATATTTGACATATTCAAGATGTCCATGTTTCAAGTCCCAGTGAGGGCACTGCACATTTTTCAGGTTCTCTTGCGTCAAAATTACCTAATGTCTGTACATGGTAAAATAACTAACTTTTAATTATCTAATTATATAACCTTTTTTTATGAAGCCTTTAATAAAACACATTTTTTGAATTGCAATAATATTAAGAGACTAATTATCATATGTTGCTAACAATTATGTAGTTGTGCTATAGAAAACAACTTGTCTATTATCATTATTACATATGCACTATGCAAAGCACATTTTTAGATTTCAGATTTTTAACCTTTATAAATATATTATTGTATTTCTTGCAAAATAATTTCGATAGAATGTTAAAAAGTAAACATATTTATTTACAGTCAAAAGTCGTTAATTCGGACACCCATAATCCAGACTTCAAAGCTACAAACTTTTTGCGCAGAAAGTACGGCTGTAAAGTACTTTTACGGCTGCGAATATGCGTGTGCGCATATGCGTAATACGTTTACGTTTGCGCGTTCAATGTATAACGGATGGTATAAGCTAAGCTAAGATTATCGAATTCAGTTAATGTTGCAGATTGCGTTGTTTCTGAATCTTCAAATTGGATCCGGCTTATTATTTTTTGCAGACTGTTAGAGCAATTTTGTAAAAGTAAGCTTGAACTTTCGATTATGCCAAATAGAATTTCTGATATGTATTTACTAATATGTAAAGGATCTACATCCACGTTTAGAAGTCTATTAAACAAAAAGTGGAATTTCTGCAAAAAATGGATAAAGGCATATCCTTCTTTTCTCAAACCATTCCAAAATCTGTTTATCAATTTCACGCTGCTCTGGGGACGAGTGTTGCAGATTGCGTTGTTTCTGAATCTTCGAATTGGATCCAGCTTATTATTTTTTGCAGACTGTTAGAGCAATTTTATAAAAGTAAGCTTGAACTTTCGATTATGTCAAATAGAATTTCCGATATGTATTTACTAATATGTAAAGGATCTACATCCACATTTAGAAGTCCTTTAAACAAAAAGTGGAATTGCTGCAAAAAAATGGATAAAGGCATATCCTTCTTTTCTCAAACCATTCCGAAATCTGTTTATCAATTTCACGCTGCTCTGCGGCCGGGGGGGGGGAAACGCCGAAACGCAGCGGCGCACAATGAATTGGAAGTTAATCTGTCAGCACTATCCTTATCTTCAGGGCAGATGTTTTTATTTTATTTCGCTTATAATTCCTTACTAAATGTAGTATTTCATCTTGATGTACTCTGTCTTTGATATGATTTAAATCAAATTCCTCGTCATTATAATTCACTTCCGATAAAGAAGAAAGTGATACAGAGGTTATTGAAAACGAAAAAAATTCGATTCACAAATTAGTCAGTATTCTCGACACGGCAATTATAAAACTTTAATAGTAGAGTTTTGTAACTGAAGGAGAAATTATGTCTGTTTATAGAATTAAAGAGAAAGTATTATCACATAAAACGAAGCAACTTAAACAACTTACATTGAAAGAAATGTTTAATAAAGTAAACAAAGAAATATTAAGTGCCTTTTTTTTTTTTTTTTTTTTTTTTTTTTTTTTTTTTTTTTTTTTGTAAATTTTGAAACCCTTTAGATCATAATTGTTCTTTATTTCATAAATTACGGTTTCATATTTTTAATTTTATAATTTCTGCATGCCATCTTATCAGATTTAAACTGATGATCTATAATCCGGAATTGCTGAAGTCCGACGAGTCCGGATTAACGACTTTTGACTGTATAAACATTTAAAAAGCTGGACACTTTTGCATAAGTGTGATTAAAAAAATATGTCCATTTCATTTGAAAGTTTTTGAATGCATTCAGAATTTTGGCAAGTAAGTTCATGAATTGACTTCTATAGTTTTGTGAATTTCACATAATTCATGTAATTTAAATAATTATTTATTGTTAAATAAATTAATACTGAAATATGAGTTTATTGGCAAAATTAATAATAAATCTGCAAAATACTTAATTGCTGTTAAATACAAGAAATTGTCCTGAAGTTAAAAAAATGGTTTTAAATGCATTTAAATGGAAATGCATCCACGTTGCTTTCTTAGAATTATATTTATTATAATCATGTAAATTTTTTTTGTTTTTACATGTGATAAGTTATTTTCTGGGTTACCTTGTTAAATTTATTACTGATTTTCTTCAGTAATATATGAATCATCCTCATAATTTGCATTTTATGAAAAATAAGTAATAAAGCAAAATGAAGCAAGAACGAAAATATACAAATAAGTATTTCGCTGAGACTAAACTTGAATAGGTCTGAAAGACCTGTCAGTCTAGATTAAACTACAGTTATTTTAGACATCATCTAGTTGAAATTAATATCATCATTATAAGTCTGTTTTAAGCTTCAGAACATGTGATTCATATTTATTTATACATTTTTTAATCTGTAGGTCGGTGTATTGATTTTTGTTCTATTGGAAACTTAAAATGTAATGAAAGAAGAATATATTAGTCAAATGTGTGTTAGTGTAATTTGTTTAAACTTTTCAAGACCAAAACGCCCGAGACAGCCTTTCATTAAAATGACCACCACCGGCCGAGATTGCGATGTTGTTATCTTCCCTTTCCCTAAGGTATGCAATTGCAGTTCCCCAAATGTATTGCATCAGTTTATTGCAGACAACTTATACTAAAAGGATTTATTTGTTTTTTTTTTTTTTTTTTTTTTTTTTTTTTTTTTTTTTTTTTTTTAATCTTTATTTGTTAGGAAGCAGAAAGTGTGTCATTTAAAATCTTTACATCTCTTTATGCATTAATGGATAAAGGGGGGAAATTGCTGTTAATCTCGAAAGGCATTTCGGCCGTTTTGGTATTTTAAACATACAGCTTAGCGAAGGCTTCAGTTTCCTAAGAGTTACATTTTTCTTTTTAATGTTAAGTTTTCATTTGATGAATTAGCATGAATAGGTATTGCGCTATAACTTTGTTCTTTTTAATTTAATTAAATTTTTTTTAAATTTTTGTTCTTTTTTAGCTTAACATAATTAGTATCTTAAAAATTTTTACTTTTCTGCCTTTCATTATGGATTTTTGTACTATAGGACATTACAATGGGATCAAATCTCATGTGCCTTTTATAATAATAATAATCCATTTATTTTATTGAAATAATTACAGTTTATTATGTGCTGCATCTGTGTGGATTAATTTTTTTTAATGTGGATTCCTTTGCATGAATTTTGTATTGATCAGTTTAAAGATTTATGAAATGCATTCTTAAAACAGAAGTTTTTGTGTAAATGTATACACTTCTAATTTATTATTTCATTTTTATTATTAGTTTTTGCATATTTTTATTTTTTGCATGGTTTTGTTTGTTTAATGTATTGTTTATGCATGTTCAAGTTTGTAATTTTATTTTATTCCCACAAATTCCTTCTTAACCATAACTTAGGCCTCCAGTGGAGCATATTGATGAAGAAGATCCATTCCTCCCTCCATCATCTGCTATGGTGAGCGCCAGGAGAAACCGTGAGACGTACGGAAGCACTGGTTTTCGACCTCGCTCAAGTCATACCCCACCCCAGACCCCTTACTTCAATACGTCTTTGTGAGCCTCCACCTACATACATATCTTGTGCTTTTGCACTTTCTCACATGCTGAAGCTTTCTTAGCTAAGGCTGGAGCTTTTTATAGATCTAAGAAGGCTAACATATTTTTATTATCAATCAACAAAGCATTTGCAGTTTACATGAGATTGCGAAATTCTGGCTTTTAATCTGTGTTACTTTTTTTAAATTCATTATTATTATTTTTGAGTTATGCTCAAATTTAAACTACCTCTAATTTTTCTTCCTAATGCACTAAAAGTTAGAATTTATATCATGCATATCTAGTTAGTTATTAAAAAAATTACTGCATAGTATAAATTAGAATGCAAAAAATTACATTAAATAATTACTAATTTCTTTCTAAATTCTGAATGTTGCAATTTTTCCTTCCTCGATATCATTGCAGATAAAGAATCCTACCCATAATATTGATTTTCTAATTTTGAAATTCTGTTGTTTAAAATTTCATATAAAATATTTTAAATAAAGGTCCATAAAATCATAAAGGTATTTGCAAAGATTCAGAACTAAGTTCATAAAAAAAGGAAATATTTTGCTGTTCAGCCTTTTACATGCATTATTTCAAATGCTGTAATATTTTTGGCTCTTTTACAGAGTTTCTGTGCTGCCTTTTCAGGTGTTGAAAGGCTCTTTAAATCCTGAATTGCATAAAAAGAAATTCTAAATGTTTTTATACATTAAGATTAAACTTTTAGGAACAGAAAGTAGTCATTTGTGTATGCTAAATTCATATGCAAGAGGGAGAAGAAAAGTTACACATTTCTTTGCAGTTGTTTGATGATGGTAGCACTGTGAGAAAGGATATTATTTTGCAACAAAGATTAGTTGTACCAATGAAACTTTTCTGGCAGAATACTTTTCAAAAACTAGTCTGCTTTTTCTTTGTAGAAAATAAATTTTTCAGTCTGCCTATCTGCCACTGGCAGAGTGCTGAAACTGGTAGTTTGACTTTGTTAAAATTTTTGTGTGTGATTGTATGGGTGTTTGATATTTTTTTCCCCATATGTAATGTAAGTACAAGCCATTTACCCTTAAAAACTTCTTCATGAGGGCTTTCATTCCTCAGCAGATAATTTTTGTATGCTCAGCCTTAACTAAAATTAGTCAGCCGTTCATATCAGTTCTTCAGGTTTAAATGTTTTGCAAATTATTCCCAGCTAATAAAAAAATACCAAGGTATCTTTTATTCAGGATTTTTGAACCCAAAGGCCTTATGTTAATGTAAATTTTTTAAAAAAAATTTGTGCAGGTAATCATGGTTTTGTCTTTGGGTCACAAGCGAAACATGAACTTTCATCATCAGTGAAGATTTACTTAAAATAGTTTGGACTGCTGGATACCATCTCTGTCAAATTTTGACATTCAGCATTTGAAAACTTGTCCTACTGTACTACATCATAAGAGAATTTTTTTCCCCTCCATCTCAAACTCCTGGGGTTGCTTATTGTACTGCCTCAGATCTGTATTCTGACAGTCTCGTCTTTGGCTGCATACTTTGCACAACTGGGTTTTTACTGCCATCCTTCAGGGAGGCTGCTTGCCAAACTAATCTCTATAGATGTGTTTGCATAATCCATGCTTTACAGTGTTGAAAGTAAAGTGGACCATAATACGTTCTTTCAAGATGAGTTTAGATGGACAAGCTTTCATTAGACAGAGTGAGAAGGAAATAATATATCATATTGTGGTCTCTCTTCTGAGGTGTTTCCTATTTTTCTGGGTAGTATTTTTGGTAAAGTCCAACTGATTTACTGCTAATGAGAGTAACAAATTAACAGTTTAAAATCAGCATCTGCTGAGCATTTATTTTATTGCCATTCTCCTTTGGATATCATACAAGCATCTATCATATGTCACAAAACTTTCTACACCACTAAGAAATACTTTTTCTTAATGCTACATCATTATAGACTGACTGCAATCGAAATGCTCTTCATTTATAAGGCTCTGTCAGGATTTCATTTACTTCAGTACAGCACATTATTTTTGCTGTTTAGTCGTTAAGTAAAATTGAAAGAAAAAGTTAATTTGAAACTATTTCCTTAAGTAGGTGCTGATTAAAGTAAAGTAAGCTGAGATATGTTAGTAATCATTATCATTAATTATAGTTTAGCAGCGGCATTGGCAACGATTGAAAAATTTAAATTCTAAATTTTGTGCAGACACTCTACATATGCCCAAAATATTAGACAAATTAATCCTCAAAGACTGTAAAGCTAATTTTGAATTTGATAATAATTATGTAATGTAAAGAATATGAAGCTTCTTAAACTATTGAAATTAATAGTATTTATTTCACTAAACGTAAGTTAAAATTAGTGAAATACATAAATGTGGCTAGTTTTGATTTTATGAGTGCAGTAATAGAGCTTTTTTTTAAAATATATATTAATTTGCTTATATTTTTCTACTGCTGTTTTTGTACTTAAAATTAAGTATATTAAAATGCATTTATCAACATTGTCTTTAAAGTATTATTAAATTTAAGTTTTGCATGCACGCAGTTCTAGTATATTCAGATTTAAGCATGATAAACATTCCTCGTAATTTATAAAAAGGCATTTCTTTATTATATGTAAGAAAAGTATGTCATCTTTAAAAGAATATAAGTATGTAATTGGCATTAACTTAAGAGAAATTTTGTTTGTAATTCGAGAGAAACTAATCAGTTTCTGCTCTTCAGAAAGCAGAAGTATTCTACCGTATTTTTGGTTTTTGATTAGAATCCTGAGTACGGCATGGAATATTTTTCTAACATTGATACTAGGCTGATTCAATTCTGTCTAGTTTTATGCTATTTAATATTTGACAAATTGCATGCATCCATGTTTTTTTAATTAAGAAAGGTACTTTTCAATGATCTACATACCCTTCAAAATGTGAACTTGCTGCCCACTTTGGAGAACATTCATGAACTGGTTGACACTAATTTTTTTTGCTGAGCTAATGCTCAAAAGCCAACAGCCATTTTCTGAATGTTGGTGTACTAAGAAAATCCATACAAGAACAATCGATCAATAAAATTTAAAAAGCAGGAAACATCGGTAATAAAATATATACCTTTTATGAGAAGTCCTTTTTGGTCAGTGAACTAATGTTTTTTACTCTTGGCCGCCTGGGTAAAGTCCTATCTCGGTAGAAGACAGCTTTGCATTTTTCAAATGCTAGATAGCATTATGAAGAGATAAATTGAGCAAGAGTTCCTAAAATAAGCAATGGCAGTTCTAATGATGATATTGCAAGAGTTCCTAAAATAAGCAATGGCAGTTCTAATGATGATATTGCAAGAGTTCGAAGGCATGAAGTTTAAAAAATTACTGACAAAGGGCCTTAGATATAAATTCTTTTGCGAGAGCAGCATGAGCTAAGTGCCGAGCTGTTGGTAGAAGCGGAGTTTTGATGCTCAGTAAGGAGGAGGAGTAAGTGAAACAGTAGCCACTGGCTGCAGAGGAGAAGGTGATTGGGTAGCGGATGATCCACAGTGTACTAGGGAAAGGGGCTCTTTTTATTGCCATACTAATTTTGAGGGATAGCCGAATGTAAGGAGAGGAAGGATTACCGGCTGAAGTCTGATAAATTGAGAGAAGACTTAGTAATGGTAGAACATTTTTAAGGTATAAATTTTAATTGAGCATTATGTAGAGTAAGATAGTAAGAATTTAAGATTTGTTATTAGAATTATTGAGTTCTTCAAACATTTAGAAGATGATGTACATTTTTTCAATTATAGGATTTCGTTTCAGAGTTGGTTTAAACTTTTGTTTATTAAGTAGGGTCATTTTTGAAAGTTGGATGCCAAAGATGGATTCAAGTTCTTTTATTGCTGTAAAAAATTTTAGAAACCCTGATGTTTGAACATTTGCAGAATATTGAATGTTTTTTTATTGGGGGGGCAGTGAATATTTGGGTAGGTTGATTCTGGTTAGCATTATCTGTATATTGTGAATCTGGGTTATGAGTTTTATTTGTAACTGTTTCTGAAAGAAGTTTTCTGGGTGCTTGTGGGGTAGTTGATTTAGATTTGAGGAATTTTATACAACCACGATAAGAAGCTGGGCGTGAATTGTTACAATTTACACAGGGGGGTTCGATAAATCTTTTTTGTCGCCAGAGCGATATTTTATGCTCTCCAGCGCATTTTACGCAACGGGGAATAAGAAAGCAATTTTCGGAAGCGTGGTGTCATTTTTCCATGTCTAATGGTGATCCGTGGATAACTATTTTAATCGGTTTCGGATTGTGTGCATTAATGAGATAGTGTTCGATAGAATTATTTTTTAACCGCTTGCCTGATTATCCCGAGTTATCTCGGGTTCGTATACGTTGCAGTTAATTATTATCCCGAGAAAACTCGGGCGAAGCAGAATTTGTTAGTACGATTTCTTTTATAACGGTTTTACACAGTCTGGAGGAAATGAAAGGAAATATTCAGCTTTGATTGGCAGTTTGCCAAATTTTGTTGGCTGCACGGTTCTTTTGGAGGGACTGGTCATGTGTTTCGCTATTGTATAGTATGCGTTGGCTTGTGGATTAGTAATATATAAAGAAGGATGCATGCGTTGAAAAAAATAAAATAATGACGATGATGCAATATAGCGAAACGATGAATTTTTATGAAGAGATGGGAAAAAAATCAAATCCAACGGGACAGTGTACTCTGTGTCCCGTGAAAGAGATTCCAGCGGTAAGCCAGTAAGAAAAGAGACCAGATACCAGCGTAAAATGTCAGGTATCACTCTGTGTTGTCCCTTGTTTCAAAAACTATCATACAAAGATTAATATTTAACTTTTTTTCGTTTGCCCGAGATAACTCGGGATAGTAAACTAATATTAAAAATCAATGCTTTTACACCTTCAAAAAATTTAAAATTCAACTTAAAACCTACATATTTTGATTTGTTTCGTTTTGTTGTATTTAATAATAAAATAAAAAAATGTGATGATTTTGCAATTTTTTTCAAAAAAATTTGTAAGGGA